AGAGTGCTTAAATCAGGCTTTCAAATGTTGAGATGAGAGCAAGAGTCAGGTAGCAATCAATTTCTCTCTTAAACTCAATTAAGTGTGATTCCCAGTTAGACTTTTAGTCATCCTTGGTTGTCGGTGCACGTGCAGAGAACTAACAGCACTTACAGATTCTTAAAGCAGCTGCAGAGGCTGCAGTAGTTGGACAAGCCATGGACTTCTCAAATAAATTTGAGCGAGACCCACACAACCTTGAGCAGACTTCTAAGATGAATTTGTTTCAGATTCCTCAGCGCATGTCAAAACCCACTTCCTCCCCACTCACATCTGTTAGATTCCTTCCCACCCTTTGTACTCCCTCACCAGGGAGCTTGCAGCCATTCCAAGCCACTCACAAGCAAGCACAGAGCTTAGGAGCACAAACATGGTAGCTTTCAGAAGAAATGCACAGAGGCTTTTTCTACAGTATAGTACTAATCAGTCCATGGACTTCTCAACTCTTAGGTGCCTATTTCCAACTATACTCAACAGATACACAAGTGGAATGTGTATAAATTATGCACATGGAAAGGGAATACTTCAAAGCTCCTTCAGGCTTGAGGTTTATTTGGATATAAAAGTATACTTATTAACGTTGTAAGTTTTCTTTTGGCCATGGCAACTCATCAATCAGGCAACAATCTACAGAACTCAGAATTCTTGCTTAACACTTCACTGGGAGAGCGGGAAAAGGACAAGGGAGTATGAGGAAAAACGTTTAAAAAGTGAAAGTTCTGGTATACACTTGCCCAGGTTGGGAGAAAACAAAGTAAAATGTAGTTGACCTCTTTTATCATTCCTGGTAACATACACTTAGGTTAAAAACCCTTACCCTCTAAATGCAATGATTTTCTGTTGTTTTGAGGGAGTATTTCTGTTTTGATTGCCTGAATTCACTGGTAAATAAATGTTCCCTTAGTGAGCCAAACCAGCCAATGTGCCCAAGAAGCTGGCGGAGGATCAGCCAACACCCTGGCCTTTCAAAGAGTCAGCTATTTGTTTTAACCCATTTCTTCCTGAGCTGTACTTTAAACATGCATCCTGAGATTTTTTTTTTTTTTTTTTTTTTTTTTTGCAGCAGGGGGGGGGGCGGTCAGGTCTACAGTAGGGTCTTCTAGTGTTATTTTAAAGTAAAGCAATTTATGTATCAATCTTATCACTAGCCACTATCACTTGGCTCCCTCAGCAAAAGTCAGAAAGAACACAGGTCACAGCAACTAGATCAAGAGCAGCATTTACCTTTACTGAATTGTCCAACTGAACATGGTAAGATCTAATCTCATTAGGAACTCAAGAAAGAAAAAAAGAAAAACAGCACTTACAAAGGAGGACAGTATTAATGACAAAGAATCCCCATGGTTTGGTCACATTAGAAACACAACGCCTTCATTCTTCATCAGTATTTATTGGGTGCCTATTATGTGCAAGGCACTATGCTAGGCCCTGGGGAAGATACAAAGATAAATCTGACAGACTGCCCTCAAAGAGCTTACAGTCTAGTATAGGAGCATACAGTCTCTGGAGAAGATATTTTAAGTGTAGCTAACCTCCCCCATCCCACCCCCACCAAAAAAAGAAAAAACCTACTAGACTTGGTTTCTTCCATTACTTTTAGTTTAGCAGCTTCACATAAAAAGCATAAATCTGAAAGTCTTTTAAAATGCATACTTCTACTCGTAAACAAAATTCATTTTCATTAGAAAAAATGCTGAATATTTATTGCAATTAAGAAAAATCTTCGGCTGGGCACAGTGGCTCACACCTGTTATCCTAGCACTTTGGAAGGCCGACACAGGTGGATCACTTGAGGTCAGGAGTTCGAGACCAGCCTGGCCAACACAGCGAAATCCCATCTCTACTGAAAATACAAAAGTTAGCCAGACGTGGTGGCGGGCGCCTGTAATCCCAGCTACTCCGGAGGCTGAGGCAGGAGAATCGCTTGAACCTGGGGGGTGGAGGTTGCAGTGAGCCAAGATTGTGCCATTTCACTCTAGCCTGGGCGTAAGAGCAAACCTCCGTCTCGGAAAAAAACAAAGAAAAGAAAAATCCTCAAACATATATTCAGTATTTTCATGAATTTTTTTATGAATGACTACATTGTGAAGTAAACAATTTCTCAAATTGCATCAAAAACATGCAATAACTTTTTGAAACATCTCTTTAAACTACTGAAAGTCACACATGTAAGGTACACAGGCTTCTCTCTGCTAAAAGCAAGGAAAGCTTTGAAATGAATATATCTTTGTTTGCTACCAATGTTCACAGCTTATGGTTCTTCCCCCATGAACCCACTTCATGTCAATACAAAGTATTATAAAATAATACCTCCATTGACATATACCCCAAAGATCCAAAGCTTTAGATCTCTAAGCTTCAGATAGAAAAAAAAAAATAGTGAAAAATGTTCATTATCAATAGCTGGGCTTTAAGCTCATCATCTTAGAGAAAAAGCCCAGCTTTTCATCTCTAAGACGAAATCTTCCAAAAAGCCCATCTATCATCTCTAAGATGATAATCTTAAAGCCCAGCTATGAATTGGCTGACGAGACCCACCAAAGAACTATAAAATAATTCCAGGAAAGGAAACTCAAAACTCACTTTCCTATTACACCCTTAGGAATTTCTGAAGTTTTTGTTATTTTCCTTTCAGAATAAAGAAACCAAATGTAATCCATTAGGGGAATAAAAAAACACTGATACAGATGGTTGCCTAGTTAAACTGTTAGAGAAAGGGATATGTGAGCACATTTTTAAATTAATTCATTTCTAACCATAATTACTTTTAAATAAGTGTCTTGAAATCATTCTCTTTTCTCAGAAACATTTCTGGGCTCAGAAATTTCTAATCATACTCAGTTTTGTATAAGCCTAAAGCTTTGTGTCTTTGTAGAACATTATAAGACTTCTCTAAAACACTGAGACTAAAGCAAATGAAACGGTTATCAAACTGAACACAAGTCAATTTTTTAAATGTAGAAACTGCACCCCAAAATGAGTTCCTGAGACTGAGGGTCCTTATTCCCACGTTGGAGCATTCTTGTTCTGAGCAATTTCCCTTAGTCAAGCCAACAGAAAACTTTCTCCATGCTGTGCTAGTTGGGCATTTCTACTTCTCATCCTCACCAAACTCCAAAAAAAGTGGGCTTGTGAAATTGTAATTCAAGTAAATTTCAACACTAATCTCTACCAGACTAACAGATCCACTCATCACAGAAGTATAACGAACTGTTAAACTGGTGCCAGGTCTGGTTAAGACTGCAGGCTTATTGCGAATACCTTCTTTGAAGAGGACACACCTGATTTTTAAGCTTTGACACCTGCACATTTTAAGTTTCCATGTCTAGTTTTGTACAAAATAAATGAGGTTACATTTTCTGAGTGTAAAATCTAACAGAAATAAAGTAGATCAATATGAGTTATGTGTTAGACTTTCACTCATTTTCCTGTCTTCATATTACTAACGTGCTTTTTTTGTTCAATCTTTTTGCTGAACAGATAAATTTTATAGATTTGTGTGGAGTAAAAAGATTGCCATTAAAGTTAACTAGTCCAACTCTGTCCCTTTACAGATAAAGAAACCAACACCCTGAAAAGTTTAATGAAAAAGCTGGGAGCCAAGCAGTTTAGCATTCATGGTATCTTTGACCTTTCTGCTGATTTGAAAAACCCATACCCACAGGCTTTTGCATGAACTATACAACTCCATACAACAGATGTTAAAATTAATGTAATTAAATAGTGACATATTTCACATAAGGTAAATATAACAAATGTTTATAATTTAAACTATTCTTAGAAAATATTAGCCCAATTCTTAGAAAATATTAGCCCTTTTTGCTTACTGCTAATAGTGTAACTACAGTGTTTGGTCTTGCTTTTCTAAGGGTAACTGATTTGCAGTTGCTACTTTGGGGATGTTTGTTTATCCACTGCAGAAAAAAAAAATCATGTTAAATACGATCATGTATTCAATCATGTATTATGTACTGAATTTCTAAGTTATTTTTACATACATGTAGATTTCTTTATGCTTTTAATATAAGTGAAATGAATTTATTCAGAGAATAAAATATTACCTTGACACACGTTGTTGGCAGCTTGAAAATTAGTCACTTCCATATAAAACAGGAAACCTTTTCTAGAATAGAAAGGGTGTCCAAAGTGACAAAAATATCAGGAAGGTTTTAAGTGAAATTTGATTAGTCTGCAATCTGAGGTATAAGAGAAAGGATGAGCTCAGAAAATTAGAAGATCTGAGTTCAAGTTTTAACTCTACTCCTTGATCCCTAGGTAACCATGGAGCAATTCAATAAACTTCTGGGTTTCAGTTTCTTATCTGCAAAGAGCTAACACACTACTTACCTCATTAGATTATTGAGGATGACATAAAGTCTATGAGTGGTTTGTAAATGGGAAAGCATACCACAGTTATTATCCCAATAATTATTAAAATGTAGACCTACAAAAAGTAGTAAATAATTCACTTAGTGACAGTAGGCATGCGCCCTAGAAGAAACGTAACTCAGAGGGTAAACCATGCAAACATTTTAACTTTCAATGGCAACGCTAAAAAAAAGTAAAAAGCTATAAAGGAACGTTTTTAGAGAAAGTACTGAAGACACACATTTGGTTTACCTAAAAGATTTTAAAATGAATTAGAATAATTTACAGCATATGAAGAGGTATTTAGTCTTTAAGTAGAGAAAGTTGCTAGTCACATGTAAGAAAAACAAGTATTATGGGCCTTCCTAAGACAAATGGAATAAAATTCCATCACTTTTTTATAAACCAGACTTCTAACAAATAACCGTATTAATTTTCCAGTAATTGAACATATCCTAAAAGAGATAAAAGAGAATGTCTACTTTTAAATCACATCCAACATGAACTCGCGTGAATGCAAAAGGCATAAAATACAGAGTTGTTACGACTCTACAGGCACCTGAAAGTTTTAACTACCTTTCATGCTCACTTTATATTCCATAGAGAATAATAGAAATACAGGGAATACTTCAAATATGTATTTTTTACAAATCCATTTTATGTAGTTCTTATTCTTGTAAGATAACACTCCACTGTGGCAGCCTTGTTTTTTTGTTTCGTTTGTAACATTAAGTAGCCCATTAACCTTTCCCTTCAAACAGGCCTTTTGATGTTAGTTCTTATACCAAATAAAAAAACAAACAAAAAAAACCAAACCAACAATAAATGAAGATGTAAGGGAAGAGATTAATGAGATACAATTCATTAAGTATAAAAATATGTCGTTTCAAATTCAGAATAATTTAATAACTCTTCGTTATTTCATATGTATCTGGAAATGGGACAGATACGTGTCCTGATCCTGTCACAAGAGGTAGAATTCCAGCATTTGGTACGACGTTCCAAGACAGGGTCAAAGTGACATTCCTGTTTCCCCTATAAAAAGATACAATAAACACAAATCATCAGAAACGCTAGTAGATCAAAAAAAAATTTTAAGTCAAACACTGAGATGTTAAATACTTTACTTATAAACATCTATTCCTAACAGAAATCCTAATATGCTAATCTGCAAAAAGAACTATTTTCTCATGTCACTTAAAATCCAAGGACAATGCTAGAAGACACCGGGACTACATTTACTGATGTCCCAGGATGACCCATAGAAACTCACAGCTGCAGTTAATAGAACTCTCAACCAAAAAGTTTAAATGATTCAAACAGGAAATGTAAAAAGAGACAAGCTAAGAATCAGAGCAATGAGTTGAAACCTAACTCTTGTCAATTACCTAGATGGACAAACCTTAACAAAATTCTCATGTTCTGAAATTTTCATTGCAAATACAGAGGTTTGGCTTGGTCAAAATAGCTTTCTTCTAAAATTATTTCGAATGTTTGCCACTAGAGTCTAAGAGGTAAAAATAACCTGAGAGATCAGTCACTCTGAGTCAACTGAGCTTTAGAGAAGTCACGTCTGGAGAACCAATAGCACTTCCCTTAACTATTATCAACTCCTAGACCCAACACACTGCTTCTAAGGTTTCCCGACTCACGCTCAGAAAGGAGCCCTTTAATTTGACAACCACAGCCCTACCACATCTGAACAAGCCCATATTCCTGGTACACTTAAGATAGAAGCTTTATTAGTTTGACTATGACATTTCACAACCTGCAAGAGAATTGCTTATCTTAGATCCCACTTTGCATTTCCACCCAATTTTTCAGTTCAGATATGCATAAATACTTCTCTTCCAATTTTTCTCCTTTTACTCTCAAGTATTTTTCTTTAAAATAAAAATATATCTTTCTCTCTTTTTCATCTCTTATTAAATGTAAAAAAATGACCAAGAATTGCTCACTTGAGACCATTTCCATCGTCAAAGAAAAAATATTTTGTTTTCATATCTTTCAGCAGCAGCTTCGGATTATCACCTCTCAGAACAATCTTGTCCCACAGGACAACTTGGTTCAGAGCCTATATTGAAATGAAAATTAATTAGATAACTCATCAGAAATACCACCTTATCACTTCAAATTAAAAGTATTAGTAAGCAAATAGTTTGACATGTTAATGAATTCAACTTTGAGGAGTTTGCTGGAATCTTAATGCATACAAATAGCAGCAAAGAGACAGATACAAAAAGGAGCAAATTATTCTTGGAGAGAAGAATGATAATTCCCTGAAGGAATTCATTCCTTTTGCAAACTCAACTGTATTACTTCGGGCCTTCACAACTTAATGCAAGGTTTTTGATCTGTAAGGTCTCCAAAAAGTGAGGCCTTTGGAGGAACAGATGAATTAAATCCCTAGAAGGGAAGTCTTCTGTTAAATCACCTTTCCCTTAAAATTTCTAAGACCCTCCAGCTCAGCATGGATCCTAAACGGTACCAGGAAAACAGAGCCAATCCCTGTTCCATCACACTGCTAATACAGTTTACTACTGATTAATTATGTCACGAAAATTTATAAGAAATCTTCTCCAAGATTTCTTTACAAAATCTTGAAGAAATCACTAAAAAAATGAAGCCTTTTAAAGATCTTTTTTCCCTTTAATTAAAAAAAATACATGCATTGCTGTCTCATCAAGGCAAAATTCTAGAGGTCAGACAATTCTTTTAAGCCACTCTTTCAACGTATTACAAACAAACTCCGTTTAGAAAATTAAAAGTGTGATATGGAAATAAAAAAAATTTATGGCCACTACTAAATCCCAAGGAATTTGTTCTTTTTAAGTTAGCATCTATTAGCTTGTAAGGGCAATTACTCAGTGTATGATGACTACATTAACTAAAAAGAAATGTGGAGCAGTTTTTTTTTTTTTTTTTTGAGACAGAGTCTTGCTCTGTCACCAAGGCTGGAGTGCAATGGCATAATCTCAGCTCATTGCAACCTCCACCTCCCAGGTTCATGAGATTCTCCTGCCTCAGCCTCCTGAGTAGCTGGGATTACAGGCACGCACTACCATGCCCGGCTAATTTTTTGTATTTTTAGTAGAGATAGGGTTTCACCATGTTGGCCAGGCTGCTCTCAAACTCCTGATCTCAGATGGTCCCCTGCCTCAGCCTCCCACAGTGCTGGGATTACAGGTGTGAGCCACTGCGCCTGGCCTGAACTAGTTTTTTAAATCACAAATTATAATTCATAGTAAGTTTTATAATTAAAAGCTATTAAACTATTATATCAAAACCTATTAAAACTATTAGTTTATGACTGAAAGTTATTAGCAAGGTGGCGGGTGCCTGTAATCCCAGCTACTTGGGGGGCTGAGGCAGGGGAATCACTTGAACCCAGGAGGCGGAGGTTGCAGTGAGCCAAGATCATACTACGGTACTCCAGCCTGGGCAACAAGAGTGAAACTCCGTGTCAAAAACAAAACAAAACAAAAACAGTTCAAGTACTCAGATACTTAGATTAATGAATCCCATACAACCCCAAAACAAAGGCAAACTGTTCTCAATAGGTAGGGATATTAATTAATTGTAGCTATATGGCTTAATAAGACTACCAAAACAGTTCACACCATGTTTTTTTTTTTTAAAGAAAGGTATCTGGTACTAAGATGGATTTTAAAATAATCTCAGAAGGTTAAAAAGTTATTAACAATCTGGTACTAAGATGGATTTTAAAATAATCTCAGAAGGTTAAAAAATTATTAACAATCTTTACAGCTTTTGATTATATATCTTCATAATGAGAATTATAATCACAGATCTCAAATTCTGTTGATTCAAGTAAGTCACCATGCAGCTCTCTAACTGTAGCTGTGGAGAAAGAATATTTTAACTTAAAGAGTAAACAACAGCCGGGCGCGGTAGCTCATGCCTGTAATCCCTGCACTTTGGAAGGACAAGGCATGCGGATGACCTGAGGTTAGGAGTTCAAGACCAGCCTGACCAACATGGTGAAAGCCTGTCTGTACTAAAAATACAAAAATTAGCTGGGCATGGTGGCAGGCGCCTGTAATCGCAGCTACTTGGTAGGCTGAGGCAGGAGAACTGCTTGAATCCAGGAGGCGGAAGCTGCAGTGAGCTGAGATCAATGGCGCCACTGCACTCCAGCCTGGGCTACAAGAGCGGGACTTCGTCTCCAAAAAAAAAAAAAAAAAAGAGTAAACAGCTGAGTGGTAATACTACTGGCTACCCGCGCCATTTCCTAGTTGATAGTTCAGCAATATGTTTCTGATCTTACTATAGAAAGTGGTCTCCAATAGTTTTTGGATCACAAATCCTCGAAATAAGTGTTATTATAAATTATATAGGTACTACATATGTACTATTATTAATTAATACCATTGACAGTGTCTCAGCCAACTTATCAGATCTATTTAGGTTGTCTTTGTGTTTTTTTATCCTTCAGTGTGACAGAGCAGTTCAGAAGAAGAATAGAAGTATGAGCTTCACCATTTTCCTACTGTTTACATATGTATGGATTATTAGCATCATCTTCAATCTGTGATTTCTTTGCAGAAATCTTTTTAAGCCACTTTTCCATTTTGAAAGAATTAGCTAAAATTAGATAATAGAATCCACTTATGTATTGCATATACTGCAATATTTTGCAACATGCTGAAAACAAATGAATAAATGCTAGGTAACATGGTGAACTTCTTGACCTACAGAATTCCTCCTTTCCTCTGGAATACCTGCATATTGTAGAAGGCACGTGCCCATTTATCTGACTTAAAGGCTGAATACGAGTATTAACATCAGTTCATATAGCAAGTATTAGTAAAGCTTAACTGTTTTTACTTTAAATTAATATATTAATAGAAGCTTCTAACTGTTTTCCTTACATACATATATTTCTTTGCATGGACCCCATTCTGGAGACCCCAATGCTAGAGAACTATATAGAACAAACAGAAAAACGAAAACAAAAACAAAAAGAGGCTCCCAAAAGAGCTAACGTTTTTATAACAGAGTTACGTCCACAGGCTTGTGATTTTTTGCTAGGTAACTCAGGTCAGGTATTTTAAATACATAAAATGTGTATTCTTTCATAAAGAATAAGGCTTTAAATAGCTATTAAAATACTTCTAATTAGATATACTTACATTATTTTTTGTTGAATATTCTGCTGATAAATAAAGAAACAACTGCTTAACATTCCAATCAAATATATTCTCTAGATGTAAGTAAATTAAGGAAAATATAAATTTATGAGCAGTATATCACTTTTAAATAGATCTTAATTATTCTTAGGTTATTTATCCATAACAGTAATACTGAAGTAGAAAAGAGAGAGGTGGCCCAGAAACATAATGTGCCACTAATTTAATAAAAATATGCAGAAGACAAATACATTGTGAAATCCACCTTATTCCAAAACAAAAAAACCTCAGTATGAGATTACTGGCATCCTCCCGTATTCCTCCAAGGATTACCAGCGGAGATACTTTGACTAGTAAGAAAAGAACAAATCCAAAATTTGTTTTCTGTAACATCAACTAAGTTTAAAAAAAAAAAAAAAAAAGAGCACTTGATATTTCAAGCAAATACAATTCCACTGGTGCTCTAAAGTATAAACAATCACCACTATTTAAATTTAACAATATGCAAACATAAACAAGGCTCAATAATTAACCAAGTATAATAAATTGTACATGTCACTTTTGGTCACATGCAAGTAGACATTAAAATGTCTCTCAAAGATGCAAATGACACCAATGTGGCTCAATTCAGTTTCCCAAAGAGGACAAGAACATCACCAGAATTAACAAGACTGGTGCCAATACCAAGAAATAAGCAGAGTTAATATTTGGATTTTTAAGTATTATGTTAATTGTTAACTCATTTTACTACATGAGTTTCCACACTGTTAGTAACACATTTGTTGCATTCCATTATTAATTATGTGTAACCACTAAGAATCACTCCTTTAGAACTAAGTCTAGGACTGCTGTTTACAAGAACAAGTACAATTTAAAGTAGTAGTAGCAGCAGCATTAAGAAAATCTGAAGAAACTACAAATAATGAGATTGGTAATATATAAATACCATAGATATCAGGAAATTTCACTATACTTCTCTGGATACACAAAATTACTACTCTCACAGTAGACCTAAATTCCCTTGAGCAGATTTTTAAAAATCATACAGACTTAAAAATACACATGAAATTTAGCATAAGACTCTTCCAATGGTACACTCTATTTCCTAAAAAGGTACCTACAGAACTAATTCTTAGCCTATTTCTAAACCTGACAATTGTTAAAAGTTAAGCTGAAAGTAAATTTCATGGTCATAGAAAGGCAAATTAGATAAATTCCCCAAGTATATGACCAGCTTTAACTGTTCAGACAGGTACTTTCACACAAGTTCAGACTGTTCAATCTCCACAACCATTTAAATCATGGGGTATTAAAAAGGCAGGTGAGATCAGGCTAGAAATGGCAGAGAACATTGCCAAGACATTAACCTAAGACCCTAAAAAAGACTAGCCTGGCCAAAATGATCAGAGTTGTCAAAAGACAGAAATTCAACGTCAAGAGAAAACATTTAAATATCACCACCAAAGAAACTCTTACAATTGTTAATATTTTCTTTTATAAAATTCCTTATAAAAAGAGTTATGATGGCAAAAAGCAACCAGTTTACCAATAATTTTGATATCACCCTTTCAAATCGTAACAGACGTAATTCATTTTTTAAACATATGTCTCTCTCTGCTATAATAAAATATGGATATATTATTTGAAATTGTACATGAAATATCTATAGGCAGGCTGAGCACTGGTAATATTTTTCCTTCTTATCCAAATGATCTAATTTCATTTTTTCTTTCTAAAAAACAGATTCAAACTTTCTTACGTAGCTTTCAATCAATTTAATGTTTCGGTTAAGAATTTAAAGTATGTTCACACAATAAGAATTTAAAGTACGTTCACACAACTACTCATGAAGTTTTCTCAAAGTGTGACGGGGAGGTATTAACATTATTTTACTGATGAAAAAGGCACAGGAATTTCCAAGGTTTGGCTGATTCAATGAGATAGTCATCCAAATCATTAAACAACACATATCTCATTATAAAACTATAGAAAAAGTAATGAAATATTTTCTTAAAGGATATCAGCAGTTATATCAAATGTGATAAATCCCAGATCACTTCTTTCTCTAGGTCCAGTGAAATCTTCTACATTTTTTCTAGAAGTAAAGATAAAAGTTTTACCATCCAACAGAACATACAAAATTCACGTAACTTCTTAAAGAGAAAGAATACAGGTGTGTGCACAGGTGAAACAGCAATTCCACAAAGAAACAAGTAAACACCAGAGAAATCTGTAAGCGTGAAAACAGGAGAAACATTCTAATCCAATATGAAAGTAAGTCTTCAGCTAATTGCATGTAACTTAAGAGAATTCCTAACAAAACTCAGAGGGAGATAAAAACTGCTAAAAAGAATAGTAAATACTTGATGTAAAGCAATTGTGCATAATGGGTAGAAGAAACCACACATGACTACAAGGTGATATGGAATACTAACAGATGGCATATTAAGGGATGATACAGTAATCACCCCCTTATCCGAGATTTCACTTTTCGGTTTCAATTATCCGCAGTCAACCCAGTGTGAAAATAGGTGAGTACAGTAAAATAAGTTATTTTGAGAAAAAGGGAAAGAGATCATATTCACATAACTTTTATTAAGTATATTGTTACAGTTGTTCTGTTATTGTTAATCTCTTATTGTGCTTAATTCGTAAGTTTTATCATAGGAAAAAACCAAGTATACTAGGATTTGGTGCTATCCGTGGTTTCAGGCATCCACTGGGGGTCTTGGAACGTATACCTACCCCATTAAGGGGATACTACTGTAACCAGCTGCTATTTACTGTTTACTACGGGTCAGACCCACTGATAATATTTTTCACATTTCAAACAATACTCACAACCTACCAATTAGGTATTACTTCCATCTTAAAAAGAAATTAAGTCCCAGAATGGTAAGAAACTTGCTCAAGACAAGCTAACATCTGTTCAGTGTTTAATATGCACCAAGCTCTTCTAACCTCACAGGGCTGACAGTGGCAGTGCTGATTTCCACCCCAGGTCTATTCGAACAATATCTAACAAACATCAGTACAGTAATTAAAAAAAAAAAAAAAAAAAAAGGTGGGGGACAAGGCTGGCTATTTGATGACTGGCTTCTTGGCGATTCTGACAAAGAAATAAACTAAGGTTAAAGAACTTGTTGGAAGATGGAATAGAGAAGGGTATGAGAATAAGAGGGGAAAAAATACGAGGATTAAAGACAAAAGTGCCAGAGAATAAAATCAAGGACAAAATAGGCAATAGCGAAATGGCCCTGTCATTTCGAATTGCATTTTTCGGCGTTTTCGCAGATTTCTTCAAGTGGTTGGCCAAAAAATTAAAAAAAAAAAAAAAGGAAAAAAGAAAACAACAACAAAAAAAGAAACCCAACGAAACAAAAATCTCGCTGTATCAGATGGCTAAGATGCTTAATTCCCTCAGTGCCCAATATCTCTGGCCAACTTCAAAGCAGCTGCAAGTGTTTACTGCCTTCTGAAGATGCAAAGGCAACAACTGTAAAGAGAATGTCAAACAGGGCAAACTCGGGTGATGAATGACACAAAGACAACCCCGTCCTGTGGCCTCCAGAGCCGCCGGGAAACCCCACGGAAGCCCGACCCGGAGCGTGGCGGCAGCGCCTGGCGGGCCTCGCGTGCGGACCACGAGCGGCCCCGGACGCGCGGGAGGCGCCAGCCTGGGCGGGCGGCGGCGCCGGCTCTGCTGTTGTGTTGCTCCCTCATTGGCCAGGCGTGGGTGGAGGGAAGTGAGGAACAGGAAGCAAGCGGAGGCACCGACCTGAGGAACGCTCAAAATTAAAATTTAAGAGCAAGCCCGGGAATTTACTGTGGAGGGGTGCAAGTTCCGAGGGGACGCCGGAAAAGCCCGCGACGTCCACCCCTGACGACCGCCCTCGGGGACGAACGGCCGCTCAGAAGGGCGACCCGGACGCCCTGCCTGCGGCCCCGGCACGGCAGCCCCGGCGCGGCGGCCCGGCTTCGGCTTCCGCCCCGGCCCGGTGCCGGCGTTCTGCACCGCCGGCCCGGCCTCGGCCGCACTCACAGCATGATCCGCGAGACGTGCAGCCGCACCGGGACGCTCCTGTCTTTGAAGGCGGTGGTGATGAAGCAGCCGAAGGTGAGCGCCGCCATCACGCTCAGCGAGAAGGCGAACAGCGAGTTCGCCCGCGACAACACCGTGTTCATCGCGATCGTCTCCCACGAGCCCCGGCTCCACACGCACACTCACGCTCCCGTTCCGGCGGCGGACCGGCTCCCTGCGATCCGCGCCGTCTGCGGTGCGCGCGATCCGGGAGCGCGCGCCGCCGCGGCCCCGCCTCCTTTCCGGTCCTTCGACGCGAGCGCGCGCGCGCCCGCTTCCCGAGACACACCCACAGCGCGCACGGGACCGCGCGGAAAGGGAGCGACCCAGCCGCGAGCCCGCCCCTCCGTCGCGGCCTAACGCCGCCACCAATCAGCGACGAGCGAGGGAGGGGCGGGGTTTGTCGCGGAAGACCCACCCCCTCCTAAACAGCTTCTCCTACTCTTCGGCTCAGAGAATCGGGAACGGGTCGTTCGCTGTCGTTTTTCGGTTCTTTGATCAGAGGTCTGGGACGGCGACTTCTTGATTACTATGTACTATTTATTTTCAGTTGAAACCGGCAGCAAGTTAAGGTGGTTTAGAATCTGTCCTGACGGGTGGCGTTTGGAAGCAGCACTTTACAAAACGCCTCTGCCTCTCCCTTCTTTGTCAAACCTGGTCAAAGTTAGGACTTGAGCTTTTTTTGGAGGATCTGGGGAGGAATGGGGAGTGGGGAATTGGCCGCCCAAGTCCTTACAGCCGTCACGTGCAACAGTATTTCCATCTCCAACGTCAGTCCAATTCCTATTAATGCTTTGCTTTCTATGGATAGCTAAAGATGTTGTAGAAGATAGGGGTTGAGGCTACCAATCCGAAGTATTTTAATTTTAACATGGTGACTTCTGATAAATAAAAGGATAACCTTTCTGGGTTCTTAGGAGCAAAGGAGATAATGGCTGCGGAATTGCTCTACAGCATAACGTATTCGAATTTTGTTAGGTCATTAATAAATAATGCAATTATTTTATCGCATTTTCAATATCCTGAAGGGCATTAGGGTTCAAACCGAGCCAATCCTGACTCTGATTATACTATCTGCCAAAACCTTTGTTCCTTTCACAGCTAAGGATTTTTATAAAAATGGATTCAGAGGGTCTGCTGAAATAAATTTTTTAAAAAAATTTCAGCCCGTAAACCAAAACAAAAACATCTGTCCTAGAATGTCATCAGGAACAAACCAGAAAATTGTGAAGATCTGATCTTGATACTGGCTTATGTTGTCTCTTGTTAAGCTTTCGCTTCTTTGCATTATTCATTACCATTCAATTAATTTTTGTATAGCCATACAGGTAGGATTATTACTAAGTGCCTACCGTGTACCAAGAATAGTTCTAAGTCTTGAGAATACAGCACTAATAAGGCAAACTCCCTGCTCAAATGGAATAGAGCCAACTAATGAAAAATCGATAAAATAGAGACTAAAGAGAGATCCTTAGTTGCGTTTAAAATCTTAGTTTTTAACTTCCAGGCTGGCACAGTCTATTAAAAAAAAAAAAGGATTTGTATTGAATGCCATCTATACTGCAAGTGATACAGAGATTGTACTGATCACTTTCTACACTCAAAGTATATAATCAGGTAGAGTTAATACAATAAAAACAGAAATCTGAAATGTAAAACAAAAAAATACCGTGGGCAGTTACATAGCAAAGGAGGAACAAATCACAGCTGTGGTAATGTGGGACAACGCAGTGTGCAAGTTATTTAACACAAAGCCTCAACAATACACGTTATTATTGTAGCATGTTTTAGGGAAATAATTCTTGTTGTCGAACTGCAAGTATGGGTATAGCTAAGAGATACTCAGAAGGCTGGTCATGATAAACAATGCATGTATAAAAGAGTAGGCAGAAATAAGCCTGGAAAGGTAAATTATAGTAGAAAACCAGGTCAAGAAGTTGACTTTATATCAGAGAAATTACATATAAAACAAGCATCGCTACACAGACAACCATTTACCAGCTATATGTGGATAGTGAGTGATTGGACCCCAAAAGGAAGACTGATAGGAGGGGCATTTCAGAAACAAACTCCGTGTAACTTAGCAACTGCCTGAATAAGAGTGGGGGTCTGTAAAGCATAGAGTGAATGCAGATGGTGAACACACAAATGAAATTAGTATTATTATTATGATACCATAGTTTTTAACTTGACTTACTGGTAGTGCTAAAAACACATAAAAGTCCACAAAAAGAGCAGGATAAGGATGGGATAGGGAACTTTCTTATTCTGTTGTCTTTTTCCAAGTGTTTCTTTAGATTTTCTAGACATTTAATCATATCACCTACATTAGATATCATTTTGCCTTTTCTTTTCCAATTATTATATTTCCAATTGTTTATTCATTTCAATTGCTAATATTTCCAACATGATATTCAGTCAGACGGGGACAACTGATGTCTTTTTGTTCCTGATTTGAGCAGGAAATTTTCTTTCATTTCTCCATCAAGTAAGATGTTGGGTTTGAGGTGGAAATTTGTGTGTGTGTGTGTGTGTGTGTGTGTATACATGTATCGTTATATAATATATATTGCATATTGATAGGAAATATCTATTAATTCCTATTATATTGGGAAATTTTAAAAAATATAAAAAAGTGCTAAATTGTTTTCAGATGCATTTTCCCTATCTTTGAAGGTGGTAATATAATTTTTCTCCTCTACTTATTTTATGGCTTATATGAATAGATTTTATAATATTGACCCACTAAGCATTCCTGGAATAAACCCCACTTGGTCATGATGAATCCGTTTTTAATATGCTCTTGGGCTTTCTTTGTTAATTTTGTTTTTTTGTTTGTTTGTTTTTTAGTTTTTGTCATCAAAATTCATAGTGAAACTGATGTGTTTTTCTTTTTTGATTGTAATATACTCAAATTAGAAAATATATATTTCTAATATAACAAAGAAAAAAGTTTTCCTTAGTTTTCTATGCACTGGGATATTTTAAGTAGCATTTGGATCTGGTCTTTAAAAATTTGGTAGAAATTCCCAAGGGAGTCTATTGTTCTATTTTTATTGTTAATTCTATGTATACTTGTGCTTTCTACCTTTTTCATATATTGTTTTAATTAGTATTTTTCTTTGTTGGTTTTTAACTTCTGCATTTACTAATTAACCCTACTGTTCTGTTTTCTAACTCATTAGTTTTTGTTTTTAACATTATCAACTTTTTTCATTCCACTTTTATTAGCTTTGGAAATTGGATATTTCGTTGTTATATTTTTCATGTTTATTGTTATGGTAACTGCTTTAGCTGTATCCTAAAATTTCTGACTATGAATTTCCAAGAGAAAGTGCCCTTTTTACTTTTTATTGCTTTAAATTAATGTCTGATTTTAAATTATGTAGTCAGAGAATGCTGTTTGTATATTTCTATTCTTTGGATTATTGAGGTCTTCTTTGTGGCCTAAAATGTCACTTTTGTAAAAATTCAACATGCAACTTGAAAGAAGGTATTTCCTCTTAATAGTATATAGAATTTGATAGATATCTATGAGATCTGCCTTATTGATTAGGTTATTTATGTCTTTCACATCCATAGTAATATTAGTTATCTTCATTTTCTTGGATTCTGAGAGATCTGTTAAAAATTTCCAATATTAATGTGTTTTGTCTGTTTATTCTCACATCTCCTATAGTTTCTCCTTTACAAAAATTGTTGATATATTATTTGGTAAGCAAGTATTAATAATAGGCACATTTTCATTATGAATGGTAGTCTTCAACATTATAACGTGTTGTTTTATTTTTAATGCTTTTTGATGCAAATACTACTAGTCAAACACTGAGGGTGTACTGAAGGAAACTGAGGCTGTTGTTTATCTTAAATAGTATTACAGACCTTAAATTAATACATAGCATTTTTAAACTAAATGTCTTGTACTCTTTAATGATTTCAACTCAGAACCTAATGCCAGTAATGGGGGGAGCAATTGGCATGCTTTGTCAGCACTTGAGTAAATAGTGACCAGTTGGGGAAGACATGCCTAACCGTATTTCCGAAGGATAGAAAGAAACCTAGAATAAATGTAAAGTTTTGATCTTCATATTTGCAAATAATTATTCTTCTGTTGTAGCAGAATGAGCCACTGACAAAAACTCCTCAGACACCCAGTTAAAGAAGGAAGGAGTTTATTTGGCCGGGAGCGTCGGCAAGACTCCTGTCTCAAGAGCCGAGCTCTCCAAGTGAGCAATTCCTGTCCCTTTTAAGGGCTCACAACTCTAAGGGGGTCCACGTGAGAGGGTAGTGATCGATTGAGCAAGCAGGGGCTATGTGACAGGGGCTGCGTGCACCGGTGGTCAGTGAGAACAGACCAGAAGTTTTACAATGCAGTCAGGGGTCGATCTTTAACTACCAGGCTTAGGTCAGGCAGGCCTAGGCCTGGTTTCAGTCTGGTTCCTTGGTTTTGGGTCTGGTCCCTAGGCGCCAGGCTACCTGCCTTTAGTTTCACTTCTCTTTCCTTTTCTGAGTATAAAACAATATGAGAGGGTCTGTCTCTCTTCTCTCACTGTAACATCAAGCTAGGAAGAGGTAAGAACAACAAATCACTTTATGAGGAAATCTTTAAATAAAGCTGTGTGCACAGGGACAGATAATGCTGTTTAAAAAGAGGATAAACTTAAAAGACATAATAAAAGCCTTCTTTTTTTTTGAGACAGAATTTCACTCTTGTTGCCCAGGCTGGAGTGCAATGGCGTGATCTCGGCTTACTGCAACCTCTGCCTCCTGGGTTCTAGCAATTCTCCTGCCTCAGCCTCCCAAGTAGCTGGGATTACAGGCGCCTGCCACCATGCCCAGCTATTTTTTTGTATTTTTTTGTGGAGACAGAGTTTCAACTTGTTGGCCAGGCTGGTCTTGAACTCCTGACCTCAGGTGATCTGCCTGCCAAGGCCTCCCAAAGTGCTGGGATTACAGGCATAAGCCACCACACCCAGCCAATAAAAGCGTTCTAATTACATATGGTGTTATTGGGGATATCCAAAGAGCACGAAGCACCAAGCTCCCCAAGGAAGTTCCTGCAATGGAGCATGTTATAGATCTAGCACATTAAGGACTCGTGGTTTTCAGAAAGCGACTATGAATTATATTGTCCACCATAGAGAGTGGGAATCTAGTCTTG